AATGTTTTGCGTTTACTTGCTGTTGAATTATGCTTAATTGACTACCGCGAAAGGTCCATGTTATGTAGGGTGAAATGTTGTATTTTCAGGATTACTTAGTGCTACCCGAACTTAATATGCCCTGTTAGCTTATGACATAGTCATGTGTATTGGTTGAGTGCTTTTGTAGTATAGTTGCTCGTATAGGCTTTCTTTCTGATTATTTTCAAAAGGACAAGTTGATGATACAAACTTGTGATTTATTGATTTGACTTCCGAAATCTAAACCAGAGTTCCAAAATATATCCATGTAACAAATTTACTCGCCGAGTCCTTTTTTTATAATTTTAGTGTATCGTTTTGCTGCCCTCTATCAGGCCTTAATGCGTTTATGCTGAAACGGATCAGAACTAGTTTGTTTCGTAAAATGTATGTTTGGAAACTTTCTAAGAATGGCAAAGGTTTTCTTTTCTTATGTCGTTCTGTTTGCAGTACAGTTAAAAGCGATTTCGAAGGATTTGGCGAAATACGCAGATGTTATCTTTATAACGAAGATAGCTTTCTTGGTAGTGGTAAGTAGTCAGTATTCATAAGTTCTCCGACAGACCTGTACTTCGATAAAATCTGTTCAAGAGGGATGAAAGCGTTGCGTCGCTGTGAATCGAGACGGTGTTTAATTTTTTTCTCTCTCTGATGTCCAACCGCAAATGCCATCCTTTACATTTGGGCAGTTGCAGTTATAAATCATTATTGTTATTCAGCATAATCGTCTCAAATACCGGTTTTAAGTTGGGCTGTGTAGCACTTGCCAGTGTATTTGTTTCGAGTGCATGCCTCTTGCTGCAGCCGGTTTACGAAATGTTGCATATGCACACTGCTCAGCCACTTCCAGTATATTTTTTAAGGGGCAGCTGGGCGAATTTGTTTCGTCAAGCCTTCGACAGTCAGGCCGATTGTGCGGTAGCATGAAAAAACAATTAACAATCTCGCGCCAGTGCTGACCTGGAGACATTTTCTCTGTAGAATGTTAGCGAAAGAACTTCATGGCTAATTAGTCCCGTTGCGTAATA